ATCAGGACTCTGGTCGCTACATGATGAAATGACTTTACAGGGGAACTCATCATGCATTTTGTTATTGTTGAAGTAGAAAAGGATAGTAAATATTTAGCTACCTCAAATCAGACCTGAGCTAGCAAATCGGTTTTACTGACTTGTTTGGAACCAGATCAGGTTGAGACATGAAACAATGGAAAATCTGTCTAGTTATGGAACATAAGACATTTCCAATGCTCCAAAGAAGAGCTTAAAACTATCTTAATATGAATTTTGCTACTCTGGAAAATCCAGATGTGGTATAGCTTCCTGAAAGACGCCAAGATCATGTCTTGCTTATGAAGTTACCATCTTTTTAGAAAAGAATGCATAAGCCCAGGTATAATGGTGAGAGGCAGTGGGGTGATCATTGGTCTCAGCCTGAAAAGATCCATCTACTCAGTCATTTTTTAGCTGTGTGATCCTGGACAAATAAAAACCTCTCTAGCTTCATTTAAATTATTTATACAATTCAAATGATATTTATTTACTATTTCAATGGCTGGTTGAAAACCTTATGAGATATTAGAGTTTCATAAACCAAAATTGACACATAAATGTAGGACTTCAAAAAATCACTATGAGCATAATGAGGTAGCTAAGACACAAAAGGTTCCCCAAGAGAAACAATGCAAAATTAATCCATGATCAGATATGGCACTGTGAAGTCTAAGAAAACACTGCTCCAAACCTATTATATTCCTCTGAATTCACTGGTCCATTCTCAAGCAAGTATGCAGTGACGAGACTACTGACCAGGCCGTATGTCCGTTGGCTGGGTATTTTTGAAACAAACTTTCCTACACTGGATAATTAAAAACACAGCTATGTACATTTGTCTTCCTGGTTGGCACTCCTTTCAGAAATGCAGTCTTTATGTTAATTCATTTTTAACTCATGCCCAGAGACATTTCTAAAAGTATATACCAAAATACTATACTTCTGCCTCCTTCAAAAGCCAGAGCTACACACACACATACCGCTAAGCCTACCTGGGGCTTTGAAGCACAACCAACTGCAGCTGAAAGGCAGGCTCTTCTACTCTCTCCCTCACTCTAGGGACTCTCATAGCTTTCTCCACGCAGATACTGCTGTAAGCACAATAAAAATCAATGAAGACTTGGAACAGCTAAGACTAATATTTAAAGAAATGCTGAGGCTCCCGAAATTCACATTCTTGCAAATTTTAGATAATGCCCCAAATATAAGTCACTCTTGGTCATATACACACTCTTGTGTGTGCATGCATAGTGTTCTAGCTTTCTACCACTCTGACCCAAATACCCACCCACAGTGTGCCTTCCTCCCAAATCCTTTCCTCTGGGTACCCTAAAACCTGCTTCTGAGGTAAAAGCCCATCCTAGAGACCCCGCTTCCTTCCTTCGCTCTACCTATTGAGCCCAACTGAAGAAACTCCAACTCTAGATAAATGAACTTTCTGTCCCCTCTGTTCCTAAACCAGCCTGTACACTGGAGATCAGGGCAACTATCAGTTCAGGGCCTTGGCTACTTCTAACCTTCTCTGGTCAAGTCAAAAACCTGTCTTCCAATTTACTGAAATAGAGAGTGCAGGGCAACTCCCTCAATGTCTCTTATCCCATTTCAATCTCCCTTTCTTCCAGTCCTTCATATCAAAAGGCATGTCCTTCCCCATAAGGCCAGTTCCTCCAAGCTGATGTCTAGAGGAGAAGACATTGAAAATGAGGAAATCAATAGATGGTCGTTGTGGTAACACAAGTGAGAGGTAACAAGGGCTGGAACTAGAACTGAGGCTTCAGGAATGTTAGTATGTCCCCTCAGCCTCCCTCAACTGGAATTTTCAGAGAACCACAAATCAGGGATATAACCACATATAACCAGTAGCACAGGTGTGTATGCCCTTGCAAAACTAGTATCAGAAGAGAAAGGAAGAAACTTTACAGCATACTTCCATTCTGTGGAAAAATACAGTTGAGAAGAGGTAGAAAGAAGAAAATAGTATAGAACAATGAACCCTAAAATTAGATTATGCAAAGTAACTTCATAGGCTGTTGGAAGAAAATGTCTATTTATATTTACATTTCATCTTAAAGGAGGAGGAAATTAACCTTTACTAACATTTACTACAGACTGACACTGCTACCATCTCTCCAGTGACATCCACGTCGTTTGCATCTTCTCAGGATCTGTAGCTTAGGTGACCCAAGGGCAGAGTGGAAGTCCCAACAGTGCCCACACTCCTTGTTTGCTTTTAGCATGCAGCAAACTGAAGTTTATTTATATCAAGTTGGGTGAATGTACAGATTTTTATTAACTCTTCTGAATTAAATAAAATTTACCAAAAAAACCCAAAAAAAACCAAAAACAAAAAAGGCTTAGACAGATCCCTGCAACAGAACCATGGATTTAAGACGCTTATTCTGCAAGAAACAAACAAGCAATAAGAAAAATGGCAGAGACAACGCTTCTCCTAGAACAAAGGAGTTAAACATGAGGCGTTAAACCAGAGAGAATCTCATCTGATTTGGCAAAACTCAGCCACACCAGGAGTTAAACCAGAAAGAGTCTCATCTGATTTGGCAAAAACTTGACCAAAATAATTGTCAAGACTATTTGAACTAGGGATGTACACCAATGTTGTTAGGATAAATTTTAAGATTAGAGTGAGCCCTGAAAAATCAGCTAATGATAAAATACGTGCAAATAATATCTTGGAAAAAATATACATATATTGGAGGTGTTTGCACAAAAAAACTTTCACTGATAAGATTCCAACCAAGAAGTCTAGAGGCCATTGGCATAGAAGCTGGAGTCTAAGGCTGTGGGAACTACATTTCCTAGTCTTTGCCCTGGGGCAAAAATAGCTGCACTTTAAGATTAGTAACATTCTAAAAGAATGTTTTATTTTTATTTGGGGGACATTGTTGAAAACTTTTTAACCTCTATTTTATTTTCTTCTCTGATGAAGTCTTATAATTTGCAATAATGAAGTACGATAAAAATGTGGGTAAACTAATATTAAATTCCCTTAACACACTTTGCTTTATATATATTCTTAACTTAGCACATGAGAATTAGTAGCAAGAAAAAAAGAAACCTATTTTTGTTATACTTTACCCTAGCTAGACATTCAACATCTACATAGACGTAAGAGTTACATAAAATCAACCAAAGTTGCAGAGTTTGGTAGGTTAAGTCAGATATTTCAAATAGTCATACAAACTATTTCCTGCCCTGTCCTTGACTCTATTCACTTCCAAGCAGATTTTGGTAACTGACAAGTCAATCCCCAACATGACTGTAAGGACCTTAGTTACTAACGTATTATACTAACAGACAAAGCTCAAATGTCTTTGCCTTCTTTGTGGGAACCCAGTGGCAGTGGCATCAGACATACACAGAGAAGCAGGCACTGGCAAATGTACTGTTTGGTGGTATCAGATCACCATTTAACAATAAAGGACACACATTTCAAAGCACCTTGTCAAAAAGGAATAGACAACTGTATCTCATTACAATTTCCCTTACTACAAATACAGAAAGCAAGTTTTAAAATGATCCAAAAAAGGAAAGAAGATCCTTTCTTCACCTCCCCCTCCTTTTCATTCCACAGGTCAATCCCAGACAGCCATGGGGCACTTCTCAAACTCTCCCACCTATATCTGAGACTTGGCCAGGCCCATCTATTTCTGCATGGATATCAAAGGGGACGGTCCACTATTTCCAAAGAAGGTAGCAGTACATGAGAATTAGGAGCTTTGATTTTTAAAACAAAAAAAGTCCACAATTCAACTTCCCTAATGCTTAAGATCCAATTTTTCCAATTAAGATGTTTAGAGTTGAGATTCTCCAGTCTTCTGTTTTTTAAAGAAAAAAAAATGAAAAAAGAGAAAGAGAAAAAGAAAAGAGAAGGAATGTGTGTAGGGTGGGGAAGAGGTTTCTGTTACATTAACTGAAACTTACAGGAGGACGCTGGAGATGTCAGCCTGAGGCTCTGGGACTATTAGTGCAAAAGGAAAGAAATGAGCGGGCACCATGTCAAAGTTTGGAAAGCTCACCTGGGGCCAATGCTGATAACTGGGAGCAGTTCCTTAAGACTTCTCTATTTTAAACCACTTATCTTTTTCAAAAAGCTTGTTTTACTACTTAAAAAGAAAAATCCCTAGCTCCTTCAGAGGGGTAGCATTGAAACAGACTGAGATAAAAATCATTGCCTTAAATTTGTCTTTGAAGTGGAAATGTGATCATATGCAAAGCACTAAAGGAATAAAAACAATTTCAATTGCCTTCTAAGATGACATGTTAATAATCAAATGCAGGAACTATACAGCATGTGATCTCATAGGTTAGAATTACCCTTTCCATCATGGGCTCCCACCTGAGACCAATGCCCGGACAAAGAAGGGATTACTATTGCTTAAAAATCTAATTTATGCCAGTAGAAACTCCAGGCTCTTCAGTGTTGGCCTCCATTAAAAAGGCCAAGAAGGAAAAATGTAATACTGTTCCCTTGAATCTGAACACCGTCACTGACACTTGCTAAAGCAAATTCACAAAGTTATGCAGAATGTTGGGACCCTTATGCCTAAAATAACAATCTGCCATCCTTCTGAGGATATCTGATACTGTTTTTATATTTAGGAAAATTTTACAATTTCACTTTTAAATGTATACAGGCCAGAATACTACTACTATATTACCTTAATTAAATCTGTAATCCTGCCACACATCCCTTGCTTTTAAGTGATTTATTAACTGATTCCCTCTTGAAGAGGGGAGGGCAGGAATCTTATAGTCTCATGTCACTTACAATGGCTGGCACATGGCTGATACTCAGAAATATTTGTTGAATGAGTGGTTAACATTATTATAACTCCCTGTTTTTGATGTCCCCCAAATTTAGCCTATTTGTTTCTTAGTAAACATATATCATACATATAACCTTTATTTAAAACAAATAATAGAAGAAGTTCACTTTAAATAATCAGGTATTCCATATATTCAAGTGAATATGTTTTATTAAATGCATACTAATATCTTTCTATAGTATGTGAGTATACATAATAAATTAAAATGTATATATTTATTAAATATAGATAGATATAATACCAGAACATGATTATTTCAGATGAGAAATCAAAATAAACCCATTTTTAAGTATCTTTTGGTCACTCCAAATTTGATATTGCTCATAAAAAAATACACTAATTTTCCCTGGGGAAAAAAAATTAATTCCATAGCAATGCAGTTAAGGGACATGTTTTATTTCATAGCTTTCTGCAAGCAAAATTGCTCTGATACAAAATGAGTTCAATGATACAGGTGCTACTGTCCACTCAAGCAAAAGAAAACCTCACATGTATATGAATGCACTTTATACTTATATTCTTACAGTATAATAGGTCTAATATCCAGGATGCCTCTGGCCTCATTGAAAGCAATGGCACAGAAATGCTGCAAGGTACTTGAATATCATAGTACTGGCAAGTGCTTGAAGTAACTTCCTGTGAGTTCTCTGTCAGATACTGCAAAGACTGTGTGTGGGTGCGTTTATCTTTCTGTCTTCCATCTTTTGGGTTACATTTAAATCATCTCAAAAAATATCCCCCGCATGTATCATTCAGCTTCTCAGAGTTTCCATAAAAACAGGAAAATGTCATGAGGTATCCTTAACGTCAGGGATTGATATAGTGCTGTGGCTGTCAGAGAGGATGTAGACTTACCTGTAGGAACAGTAACTGAGTTTAGTGTGTGCCCTGCACATTACAGTGCAGAAATGTTAGTTCATGTTAAACTTTTCCTCCTCACATATGATGTGATTTTAACCCCAGAATATCTGACAAAAACATTATACAGATAAAATAAAAAGACAAATACACAAATAAGGCCATCTGCAGAATTTTAAACTCGCCTCTTGCAATAATTCACAAGAATTTCTACACCATATTTTACATTGTTCAAACTTAAATAATAAATGCTCAAGGAAGGGCCTTGGTAGAACCAATTGCACTATCTCTTTGAGGACTTGTCCAATTTGCTGGCAGGTGATTTCCTCTGGGGCGTGGGGATTTTTGAAGGCTTTGCTGTGGATGGCCGAGAACCTGCTCGGGGTGTAGGTCTGTGTGTCTGGGGGACAGTTTCCACATCTGAGCACACAGACTGGATTTCTGAAATGTCAAAGTCTGATGCATCACTGCCTCGGCGGCTGCTGGCCCTGCTGCCAGCTTTGCTTCCAGCTCGACTTCCTGGTCGGCTGGGAGTCTTCTTGGAATCTGAGGAAAGAAGGTAGAGACAGCTCACCCTTATTATTGGGTCCATCTGCAACCAATTTTTGAAACCTGATGCCACTTTTAATCTTAACTTTTTTTCCTGGTGTGTAGTAGGCACTCAGAAAACACTTTTGGATTCACGGCCTTTCCCTATTACACAAGGGTATGATGCAGGCTTACTCTAAGTAGACATAATATAGAAAAGCCTAGATTTCTATCTAAAAGGTAAGTTTCAGCTTCCCCTATGTAAAGCAGGATTCCATTTATTGCAAACAGACATAAGGAATATGCCTATCCTTTAAGATTGTGCTTTCTAAAGTTTAAATTAGGTATCCAGGGATGTGTGTGATGCAAACATAGAACAAACAAGACAGGCTTAAGTCTTGCCCGAGAATAGGTAACTCCAAGAATACAGGAATTCAACAGAGGAGATTGGAAACTTTAAAGAGACTTGCTTGCTGAGCTCAGAACCCAGAGATTAGTAGGTTCGCTATTTTGTGAAGTAATGTGAGATATACTGGCGTGAGGCTCAGTGTGGCTGGGTTTTTCCAACCACCCCAAAACAGGGCCCTCTGCAATCTCTGAGCTGGTAGAAGAGCCAAGACCTTTCAGCTTGAAGGCGTAGGATACCACTGTATGTTTTCTTCTGTTCTACGGTAATTCTTTCATCTTTCTTGGACACTTTTAGATACTTGTGCCCATGACTCACTTTATCCCTGACTTTTGGAGGACCAGGGCTACATATCATTTTAAGACCCCTGAGGGTCAATTTGTAATTTCTTCCCCAATGAGGAGGAAAAGGGACTTTAATCCTCAGATGACCATGCTGCAAAAGTCATTAACAAAAGAAGGGCACCACACTCACCAGCAAATTGTGTTCGGACTCTGGCAGCTGCAGTTGTTATCAAGCCACTGTCCTCCCCAGAGTGGAAGCCTTTCCCTGATAAATATCCTGGAAGTCGAAGCTTGCTTCCTTGTATTGGCGTTCCCTGTATTTAACCAGCGACAAGACATTTCAAAATACTGCTCCTGCACCCTGATATTCCACTGACACCACTTCTTTACACATGGCTGGAAACTCTCTACTATTCCTCTTTAGGAGGTGGAGCAGGAGAAACTCTTCAATTAAATAAGGCATGGGGTTCTCACTTAATTTTCTCTTCTAATTTCTTATTCTTTCTCAGAATTCAAAAGAAACTTTCTAAACAATATGAATTCATGATTGAAGAGAAAACAAAATGGAGACCCCCCCCAACTGAGCATAAAAGTGATGGCAAGGAGAAAAAGACAAATTAAATGGTGAGTATGTTAGTATCTTTCAGACTGCCAGTGAATATTACAGAGGTAATGGTGTATTGCTAAAAAGATGGTGACTCCATGCATAGAGGGGGCATGGAGCAGAGAAAAGCTCTGCCTGGATATTCTGCTGCCTCCATTGCTTTTACGGAGCTAGGCAGAGATAGAGACAGAATGATAAGTAAATAAATTATGGATACAGACATCATTTAAATAAACTTAACTGCAAAAAGAAAAAAAGTGATTTTTAAATAACTTGCTATCAAATCGCTTCACTTCCTGGCTCTATCACTTCTACAGTCTTTACAGACAAAATATTAGGCAACATTTGGAGAAAATTTTTTTTTTTTACAATCTTTATATGAGTTTGTAGAGAATGTCTAAAACAATCATAACTACGAGATTTTATTATACAATCATTGCACTTTTTCCAGATCACTACAACATTTAAAAAATTCTCCCAAAGTTAAAAAAAAAAAACCCAGGTATCTTGAGGAATACAAGGAATGTAATATAATATTCCTCAATGAACGCACAGCCAGAGAACTATTTGGAGGAAATGCATCGAAACAAATTACATGTATATTTTTAAACAACTGATTTTCCCTTTATTAGCTTAAAATGTTACAACCATCTGATACATGAGCTACTTTTATTAAGTCATTTATCTACATATGTGTATACTACTCATATACTTAAGTGTAGTATTTATATGTGATTTGTATACACAGAATGCTCAAGTTTTCAAAATACTTTTACACACATAACCACAATTAATCCTCATGCTTACCTAATCATAACCTTGAAAATGTGAAAGATTAGAGCCTGAGGAGGGACATGATTTGCCCAAGATCTGACAATGCTGATCTAGCTAAATTCCTGACTTAAACAGAATCTCAACAACACGAGGGAGTGAGAATCCACAAATTATGAAACATATCACTCAAGGTGTCAGAATTCATAACCGTGAAAGACCACAGTCATTCTTCTCAGAATGCCTTCGTGATTGTTTCGATTTTATTTCACAGTCCCTCCCATAGAAACATGTTGTTTTTTGGGTGTTTTTTGTTTCATCAGGTTATTTGAAATGAAACACAGTTTTTCACTAGTCAAAATAACTACTCAGACTTTAATTTGAGAGAGTATCCACTTAAAAAAATTTTGAACACAGCATCATAGCCTTCAATATTTAAAGTAAATGTTAGTATGTCCCTTAAGGTTGTTTGAACCTTTCTCAGTTTTTTTCTACAATAGATCCATAATAATTGACAGACATCTCTAGAAGTAATATATAATACTAACATCGTCCACTTGGTGGGAAGGGGTAGAAATCTGGGGCTTGGGGAAATGAAGAGGAAGAAATGAGGAAACACTAAAGAATGGGTTGTTTTTGTTCCAATTCTCCCACTTATCAGCAACGAGATTTCCATGGAGTCATGAAGGTAACACACTTTTTTCTCTGCCTGCCACTTATTATTAACGTGAGGATTAAGGAAGAGAGAAGAAAGTGTTTTGAAAAGCATAAGGGGGCTTTTAAAAGTTATTATATTACTTTTATTTGAGGATCCTGGCCTTTAAGTTACGTCCTTTATAATTAAGGTGAAATACCTTCTTCAATTTCAAGAAAAGGTATTTAGGGATTTTTCCCCATTAATTATTGGGATTCTAATAACATACCTGATTATTTTGTGCCTATGTCTGTTGTTTTATAGTGAAGTTTCTTAAAAAGATATACGGTTGATTTTCAGTTGAATGTAAATGACCTGATACATGAGTTATCTTGGCAAATTTTATATCACCTACATATCTTCTCTCCATAAATCATGCTGTATTAAAAAGTTAGAGCATGCTTAGTAATTAAAATCTTAAAAAAAAACCATACATTTATTACCTGTTGAAAATGACAGATAACTTTCTGCATACCTAAGCCTCCCTCTGACCCCCTGCACTGATACTGAGAGCTTATGACACACCCGCCCAAAGTTATGGGGCAGGTATAAATGTAACAGACATTCAGAAGGACCATGCCCACAGTGAACATTCAGTAAACATTCTTTTCAGTGATTCTCTTGCAAATGATACTGCCTTTTACTCCCATCTGAAGGGAATGTGTTGCACTTCTTGACCACATTATATCTAGTATATTTAGTAGCTTTAAAAGAAATTTTACTTAAGTCTGGATATAATCTACTATATTTTACTCTCCCAAGAGATAAAAGTGGAACTAAGTATGAATGAGAACAAAAAGGAGGTAGTCTGAAGGAGTGACTGGCTCAAACTGACACTGTTTAAATTGCTGCAGACGATCTTTTCTGTTAACCTCTTACTCTCACATCTTCCAAGAACTGCTGGGTTGATACTTATTTTATAGAAGTGTATAAAAAGACATATGATTGTCAAAGTACATATATTAAGGGAGTGGTGAAGCAATGTTAGTGGGTGATAGTTTAGTTAAAGGAGACTGTTAAGACTGGACTCTGGGGCCTTACGATACCTCTGCAGATGGCACGGGAAAGTCTGAGCACTCTGCTGCTTTACCAGGAGTTGACATTTTGCTGTTTGTCAACCATGGTTTACCATAATTGCGTGTTAAAGGATGGAGAATCTGTATGGAACAATGGCAAATCAAATGAAAAGGATAGCAGATAAAAAAACCAAAGCCACAGAAAGAGATACTCATAGCAAAGAGTCACATCTCACAGTAAGAATAATAACAATTTTAAATAAGTGGAAAGATCCAATGGCAAATCATACACACCAAAAAAATGAATGAAGCTTTAAAAAGAAAAATCAATCTGGAAGATCACAAAGGCTCCCTAAATAGATGATCTCTATGTGAGGCACTAGGCAAAAGCATATTTTAAAAAATCCTGTATTTTCTATATTGTGAGAAGGTGCACAAATGGAGATAGCTGGTCCTACAAATTCTAGGGCCCTAAATAGAACATTCAAAAGTCTACTTGGGAAACTGATTGCAAAGGGGGAGCAAAAGTCTTCATCCCTGAGTCTTACCTTGGGTGTGGTGGTGGCAGGGACCTGTGGGGTGGCCGCCTGTGCAGCCTGACTGGACACAGAAGTGGATCTGTTGGGTGAAGCGCCTCGTGATGATGGCCGGGATCTTCGGCCTCGGGGTCGGAAAGCAGCCATACCCTGGCTGGCACCATCTGCTAAAATGAACTTCTCACGCAGTTCCATGTTTGTCCTTCCTTTGGCTGGTTTACACACACACAACAATGCACACAAAGAAAAGAAGGAAAAGAAGAGGCGCTCAATCGTTTATGGGAAGAACAGCACCTGGCACCAGAGATCACATTGAGAATTTCAAGAACATCTTTTTGCCATGCCAACTCCAACTCAGCATAACAAAAAGTTAAATGCATTCCTTTACAATGCATTCCTTTTGGATACAGGTGAGTTTGGGGAGGAAAAAATAAAGTGTGCTTATTCTAATACTAGACACCAGCAAGAATAACCACTATTAAAGAAAGTGTCAGCATGAAAATGGAAAGCTCATGCTAAAATATCATTAATCCACCAGCTACTGATGCCCACATGGTTTCATTACCCTCTCACCACACTGAGAAGACAGACCAGTAAGGCAGGGACTGTGTCTTTTGCATGTACTATTGACGCAAAGAGAATGCCAGTATTTCAACATTGGGATTAATTAAACAATATAATTACACAGAATGAATGATGGCTTGTTAGTCATGATGACAACATATAAACTTCTGGGTTTTTCACTTAAATGAGGCAGCTAGTATTTTTATTTTATGCCTTGAAAAACTGTTTTACCAACATGCAATAACAAACACCAGACCCAAGGATCTGTGAGGTAATCAGTGATGCAGCACTCATACAAACACATATGCACACGGAGAACACTCCACAAGAACCCGATGAGCAACGTGTTAGCATGTGTTTGATCACTTATAACACCTGCATTTGTAACACAACCAAAGTGCATCAAATTTTCAGACTTTAAATTTGGAAGCACCAGCTCAGTTGGGTATGAGTTAAGCCATACGCGATGGATAAAGCATGTTATTTTAAAATAAATGACTGAAGCAAGAATGGAAAAGTAGGAAAGAGAAAAGGAAAGAGGGGAGAGGCAAAGAGAGAGGTTGCCAACCTATAGTAGGCTGAGTAGTAGTAATTGAAGAGTTTGATTCCGAACGTAACATTTTACTCCCATGATGATGAACTAGAAAAAATGACACAGGATACCAATCACATTAAAAAATACTGTTAGCAGAAGAAGAAAACAAAGTACAGTAGTTGAATATGCAAAGGGTGCTCAGATTCAGCCTTTAGCACACATTTTAGAAGAAAAGTTGCATCAGGAAAAGAAGCACTCAAAGGATTGGCTCAATAAGAAAAATGTATTTGGAAGACTGTGCCACAGCCATGCTAACCTTCGTAAGCAACCCAACAGAACACAATGTGTTCTGATTTCTTCATAAATGGAGATGCATTTCACCTTAGGCTACATTATTTTCAAAATATACAACAAACAGGAGCTTTTGTTCTTGTTTTACTTCTCTCACAGGTGTGTCTTTGGCCAGGAGAGAGCTGGGTTACTGCATATGATTGTATAACAATCCATGGTGGCCTTGGCAGAGAAGCCCGATGACTCTGATATGTCTATGCGTACCAGATGGTGACACCATCACCAAAATCAAGAGGACCTACAGGAGGAAACCTGGGCTCCCACTTGGGTAGCCGAAGGAGGCAGCACTGACATGAACATTTGCTGTTTGCTAAAAAGGATTACAGTGAGCTCACAGGTTAAAGAAAATTAAAACAATTTTATTGGTTTTTTTTGGGGAGGTGGGAAGGGAAGAAAAATGGGCCTACTGAGTAAATGGTACCTAATTAGAAATTGCAATCAAATGACCACGTGTAACATAAATTGGTTAAGAACTTAAACATTGACAGAAGGATCTGAAAACAGAAAAACTAAAAGCTAACTTAGGACTTGGGCTGGAAGATATGTAGAGAGCTATAGTATTAATATGTTTATATTTTTAATGTTCTAATCTGCAACTTCAAAGAGTCAAGTTAGCATTGGATTATTATTTAAACATTTTTTAATTACGGCTTTCCTCACCTGCCCTTCATTTCATAAAAACTTTGACCTTTAAACTTTTATTATCCAGTATTTTCAGTCTTCATTGCCTCAATTTTCTTTTCTCTTACTTTGCTATGTAATAATAGACAAAATCCTTTCCTTGGTATAATTGTTTGGAAAATCAGAGATATAAAAGTCTCCTAAAGAAAATGGATTCTAGTATTTCCTGCCCACCATATTTATCCAGAAGAAGTAAAAAAAAGAAAAAAATGAGAAGAACATGGTTTACATGACTGCCACAGGTTCTTTGGGAACTTTAGGCTGACAGACCGATGTGAAACATTCACTATTGGAATAAATGACCAAAATTATGCCCAGTATGTTTTGGTGCTGGAAAATAATATAAAATTGAAATACTTTCATGATGTTATCATGATAAGCATCTCCTTACCCCTGCAAGGATCATTTTTCACTAAGAACTCATCAAGTGCCATCCATCCACCTCCAACACGAACCATCACAGTACTCCGCAGGATCCGGACCAGTCGCAGTTGCTGGGAGTCTCCAAACTGTTCAGTGAAGAAAGAAAGAACCTCTAGTTGTCAATAATAATTCTAAACTGCAGGATGATGCGCAATTTGCAGTAGCTAAAGCAACCGACTTTAATTTCTTGCTTAGTTCGTAGCGATTAGTAAAATCTCAGAAAAGGGGGTTTGTAATGATTTGCGTTAGACAGCTGCATGCTGATTTAGCCCAAAGGAAACAGTTTGAAAAAAAAAAAAAGATTACAAAGGTTATCAAGTATACTATCAAAGCTTTGGTCCAAAAAGTATTTTTCTTTCTTATGACAGAAACAATATTAGTAAGGCAGTAATTTTAAAATGTTTCTAGGAATTAAACATAGCCATGAAAGTAAGCATTGGCCCACTTGCCCAGGGCTTATCTAAAATAAGATGATTCTAAGAAAAATTTAATAAGCTTTGATTCTTCTTCATTAAAACTATCTCTTACAGTAAAACTGCTTTCCACTGAAATCTGTGAGAAATCTTTATAAACTCATTTTGTTTTCTCTAAGAGCAGTTTTGACTTAAGAATAAAGTAAATGAGTATGACTCGTACAAATTTCACAGTCAACTAAAATTTCTGCATCCCTAATGATCTGGTAAACCAATTTGTTAAAGGCTGGGTTAATATGCCACTTTAGATTACTGTAATATTAGAATAGCCAATGACACATTATTAATGATATGGCTGCCAAATCTAAAAGGTTTCTCTCACAGTTGTCTGTACCATAATTGTTGATACTAAGAGGCAATCATCTTTTTCTTGCCCTTTCAATAGATCTCCAACAATGTAGATATGTTACAAATTCTGCAAGTCCTGAATAAATATCTAGATTCCAGGTCTCTGATCATACGTTTATGTTTTGAAAGCCTGTGAGAAATGATTTTATACTTTAAATCATTTCTAATAGGTTCATGTCCAACTCATAAAAACTACCAGACTGAATTTCACGGTTGTTATCCCAGCAGACAAGAAAGCAAAATGAACAGTCAATTAAACATTAATGGCTTCTTTGTAAAGCAGGTAACATACAATTGTGACTTTATTTGGGCTCATTATGGATAAGCAGAAAACTCTAAGTAGAAAAAAATCTGCTACTTTTTAGTGTTTTAATATTGAGTTTCAAGAAGAAAACCCAAAAACAATACCAACCAAACCCCTCGGAATCCTAAAACTCAGAGGGACCTAGAAAGCATGTAAAATGCACCAGCAGGAACTCATGTGTTTTTCCATCAAACTTTTAAAAACCACTCTTTCTAAATCTTTTTTTCTTAAACATTGAGACTTAAACTTTCCTATCATTGTTCCTGAAATGTTAATTAAAATTTAAAAATAAAAGTGTCAATTTATTTTGTTAGAAAAAATTGGGTGCTGCTAATAAGCAAAGGGAAAGGAGGGGATTCAAAGAAAATTACCCTTAAGGAACCAGATAATGGGACTAGATGATTTTGGTTCAAGATTATACTCAAAACAAAAGTTATAAGGAAATAACTAAAAGTTCCTTATAGAGATGATATTTCAAGTGTAATAAATACAAATAATTTTCTATTTTAATAAGGTATTCTCCAGACAACTAACACTGTCTTCAGAATTTCTCTAAATTTTCCCAATAACCAAATCACAAGACAAGAGAAAACAGACTAATGTTGCTGACTGTGCTTTCAGTGAGTAAAACCTTTTGAGGTAAGTATTTCTCTCATCCTCTCTGCAAATAAAAGATGCTCTCTCATTTGCTGACTCCAAAAATTGCAAGGACGGAAAAGTAACATTTTATGTTTTATATTATAACTAATGGAAGTTTTAAAAATAAATTATTTGCTTGCAATAAATGAAGGTAATAGATAATTTGAAGCTTGAGATGTAATATGGCTTTAAAACGGAGTGGCAGAGTCATATCTAATGTAATATGGTCAGGTACTATAGATAGCATGGTTGTTTCCAAAGTATAAAGTTAAAAAAAAAAAAAAGCTCATGAATATGTTTAAATCAAAACAGAGTATCTCTTGTCTTTAGTTTCAAAATTCTGATCATGATGTAGTGCCACTAGACAGTTCATACTGACTTAAATGTCAACATAAACATTTTATATTGACTTCAGTGCCAATATAAACATTTGAACAAGATGGCATAAAACGTGACTTTAAGATTCTGCATATGTTACAGCAATAACTTTCCTCAAAAGGAATGATATTACTTAAAGCCTACGGAGTTAACATTTCTACTCAGAGGATGCCAATCCCCGAAAATCAGTGATTTTGAACAAATGGCAAATAGCTTCTTTGGAGAGAACTTGTTACTTGCGGCTGAGTGCCAAGGAGACCTCTTGGCTCTCTGTCTTCCCGTGTCACTGCCTGAGGCTGATCCTCCTGGGCTACTGTAGACCGTATGTCCTAAATAGTTAAACATCAATGAGCCTAACACAGAGATGTGTGGAGAATCAAATTTGTGTTCCAATGAGTATTAGCATAAAATATATGCTCATATTATCAAAAATGGGAATTAAAATTGCATTTGTAACATTGTAGCAAGCCAAGCTACAACTCATTATCTGGTTTGCTTAAAAGTAATCTCCTCATTTAAGACACAAGGCAAAAAGGAATCCTGGATCAAGGACCCTTATAGCGCTTACAGAAACACCACGCCAACCAACAATGTAGTAGCTAGGGAGACAGCATGGGAAAGATTGGCCATGGCAAGCTTTAATGACTATGAATTAAAGTTAAAAAAAAAAATCATCAGGAACTTGAGAATACATTCCACTGGTTTATACCTGATTTCCCAGGAAGAACTGATAAAAATGAAAAATGGAAGAAAGACACAATTAGTTCAACAGGAAACTTTCTGTATGACTCTAGAACATACACACATACTCACACTCTGTGCTTCTGGATGTAGTATCTAGCTTAGAGATGTGCAGGCACCCAGTTTGAAATCTGTCCCAATTTCAAACCAAATAATCAGACTATTTTCTGTACATGTATTTTTGAAAATCTTAGGATTTCAAATTTAAGTTAAAGTTTTGAATACATTGATGACTATTTTTTAATATGGAAGTATAAAAATAAAAATAATGTTTCATTTATAAGTAACACACTATATTGGGGAAACTCAGCACATTTCCTATCTAGCTACTACATATAAGAGATGTTCAAAAAAAAAAAAAAGAGAAAGAGTAATGAAGTCACACTGTTCTTCTGTTTTGAAGAGAGTGAACCAAGTTAATTGAGATTTTTAATAAAAGCAAAAATTACTGCACAAGTGGAGAAGACATTATCCTCTTTTTTCCTATTTATTAAAGTGAGTCCATATTTTTAACTTTGTGGTTCTGGATTAGAGCAGCTTTCTTGTTTGGAATCTGAAAACTTACTTCTAATCATAATAAAATATAAAATAATATGAAGCAACCTAAATATATGAGATTTGAGTATTTTCTTGTGAATAACTTTTCTTTAAAGGCAATGTGCATGATGTAGATGTCAAAGATATTTCCTAATATGCAAAATGCAGGCTACCATTATACAAATTAAAATGTTAAACATAAGAGTTTCATATACCATTAAATTTTGATATGAGGTAAAACATAAATAAATAAGATTCCTGGAAAACAACGGAGATCAAATTATATACAGATTTCAATTTATGTCTTTTAAAGGAACTACAACATTATTTTGAAAACTTACCCTGTATTTATTATCACCAATCTGTTCAACTTGAAATCGCTTTGCACATTTACACTTAGCTACCTGCCTTGTCACCTGCCAAAAACAATGATGAAATATTTACTTTAATGTTAATATTACATAGTAAAATCCTTAAAACTTTGACACTACAATTAAAGTGAAAATAAAATGATTGTACGAATTGTGCATGATATCCTGGCAGAACACACTATCAGTGTTATACGCAATGGAAAGATAATGAGTACCTCATCTTCGATTTTGTCAGCATCTGTGATAGGTTTATATGCATCTTTATTTGGGTGAAGGGCTGCTACAAATTCATAGTAGTCAATATATCCATCACCATCTCTGTCAAAGATGTCTGCAACTGCGCTCATCTCCAAGCGACTGGTTGGAAACTCTAAAATTTTGAAAACAATGATAAGTAGTGACTTGTTAGTACTTTCTCCAGGTATTCTCAATTGCACATTTTAATCTCAATGTGGCTGGTTAAATCATCAGTGATCAAACATGTTAAAATCCTTTTTTAAAAAACTGATTTACATCATAGCAAACGAAGAGCTATATATACTCTTAACTTATCTTTAATTACTACTTAGGTGAATCATGTAAAATGCTGTTTTTTTTAGGTTGAAAATGTTTAACATTGGCAATTTTATATGGTTCAATTACTAGTCAAAGAATAATTTATGAAATTTACCTTAAGAATGACATCTAGTAACATCTGTCAGGGAAATCACATACAAATGATTGGGCCATCAAACAAGAAGGTGATAAGTATCTTAAGAAGTTTTACAGAGTTCTAATTTCCTACTAATGACAAAGTTAGATCAGAATGTAAATTAGAATGAAAAAGAAAGGGACTTGAATTTATTGACTTCCTATTACATAGATGCCAGGCCACACACACACACACACACACACACACACACACACACACAGAAAACACCTTAAGAATCATATATTATTGACTTTATTATTCTAACAAGTTCTCAGCCTCAGTGGAGTGAGGGAACAACGTATCTGTGATCACACAGGTAGTGAGTGTTCCTTAATCCAGAGCCACAGATTTTACCAAAAAACACTTTTTTAAGGGTAGTGACTTCCTAGGCAACTTATAAGGCAATGCCTTATTAGTAACACAAGTTCACTGGACCCACAATTTTAAAATGTGCTTCTTTCCTTTAAAAATTGTATTAGTTACAGTCACCTGTCTTGGAACTTACTTGAGGAAAGAATTCCATCAATAAATTCCTGCCGTGTTATTTTCCCATCCTGGTCTTTATCAATTCTCCTGAAGAAGTCCATCACTCGAGATTTCTTGTGATTCATCCATCGCATGTATTTTTTGCGCCAAATATCAAAATCAAAGTTAGCAAATTCCCTCAGCTAAAAAGGACAAAAGGTATTTTGGTTGAGTTAATGTTGTACTAAAATTGTAGATTATACATATGAATAACATTTTAAATGATTCTCTAGGTAGTACACATATCCTTTCCATTTCAAAAAGAGGTATTATCTTGCCAAGGGGACTTAGAAACATTTTGGCTTTAAAATGTATTTCATTTCTGTCACTGATTTATCTTTACAAATAAAATTCCTAAAAACTTACGCTGTAAATTTCTGATTAATGCCAAAGTCATAAAGGTGGTCTGGCTCTAAGTACCACCACTAGTCATGCTCACTGGGATAGCAGGTCCAGCTCAACAGCACTTATCTAACCCTTTGCTCTCTCTCCCTCTGCACTATCAGCCACTCTCTTAACTCCCCAGGGCTTCTAAAAATTTCCCAATGGCAGAATCCAAAACTTGAAATCTTAGGTAATCAAATACACACAATCAAAAGATCTGAAATATCAATGATTATATTTGCCAGGCAGAATAGCCAGCAAACATTATGACATTATGTCAAGTTAGATTTTATTCTTAAGGAATCAGCTTCTGATTGTTAAAATATAATCATTTTTTTTTTACTTTATTGATTTCCTAAATCCAAATCCCATATATCAATGTTTCACAAAATCACACATACTTGTGTTATTTATTTTGGAATTTAAAAATGTACTCGAATAGCAAGAGTTTGCTTATTATCAGAAAAGTTAAAAAATACCAAGATTTTGGCGATGGCAATGTGTTACGAGAAATGAGGGCAAATGACAATAAGGTGATGAGGGTATGAATTTCCAAACCTCCTCCAGCCTGTCCAAGGCATCATTGAGTTTCCTCCTTCTTTCCAACGCCAGGAGCCAGACTTGCTGCCATTTGCTCACCAGTAAGTTAACCCTAGGATTTTTGGTTTCAATTTGTGTCTGTGACCCAGAGGGATACAAGCTTGATGCTGGAAAGCGTTTTCCTGTGAAGATATAACTTTAGTTAGGATGGCAGTTTCCAGGGTTCTGAAATGTGTTAAGGCTTGACCTTTTGTGCTCCTAGCTAAGACTGCATCAACTTAATTGTGGGTTTGTACAAGTAAAAGTATCCTGATTTAGATGATGTAAAATGTCAAGGTCCAAATCTGTTTTCCTTATTAAGGATCACACACTGTTCATGCAAGTTGAAGAAATATCTCTTGACAAGGGCATTTAAATACTGGAAACCTCTCTCAATAAATTTACGCTTAAAACATCTTCCAGCTTAAAATTCATGCCATTTCAATGACAATGAAGCATGCTGTGATCCTCCTGTTTGTTAAAGGAAATCTCACAGGCCAGTGAGACTATCTTACAATGAGTTACATCAAACCTAGCTGTCCTTCCTAGAGAAGAAGGCAGAAAGGGAGAGCAGATGAGGGCAGCAGACACTGGGCAGTCACAGGAGTCAAAGCAAGACACTTCACAAATGCCAATAAAATATGGCAGCATGTGTATGGGACCCCAGCCTTTGCCCACATCCATTTTCCACTGAGATTGCATGTTTCCTATGCATAGTCTCAAACCCAAGTTTACTGCCTTACTGAAGTTTCCTCCTGCTTTCTGGCTGTTTTCCACAAGTCTCAACAACTTCACAAAACAATGACCTTAACAAATTTTTCTCATCTTACTAAATGGCTAAATATGACCTAGAAAAATTACTGGCCTAGGGTCACATAGAATGTTAAGTGTCCCAGCTGAGATTTACAGTACAAGAAATACTTGAGCATTTAACTATATGCCTGGAAGTATGTTAAGCATTTTATATGTACTAGCTCATTTAATTCTCACTGCAGTCCAATGAGGTTATAATTATCCCCTTTTACAGATGAGGAAACTGAGGTTCAGAATGAGTTTAAGTAATGTGTCCAGGGTTATGTTTCTCAGTTTGGTAAGTGTTGGAGACAGCCAAGGAGTCTGGCTATAGGGCTCTTAATAGTTTACCTTGTCTCCTTGTGTAATAAGTAATCACAACAGCTCTGACATCATTTCTTTTTAATTAAAAAATTAAGTAATACACGAAATGCATTTTCATTCAGTAACACAGATTGTGTTTCTTTTAAATTTTCTCCAAGCTAACTATGATTGTTTTTAATGTCATGTCATGTTGTTAAAGCAGCTCTAGAAGTAAACAGAGCCTGAAGTCACACGAACATGTGCAAAAGCTATCAGACTGCTGGCCACCAATGAACAACTAAGTCATGAACGTTATCCAGGTCATGGTCATTTTTATTATGCTCAGCTTTAAAGTTATATATATAACAGAAGAAAAATGAGACAATGCAACGGGGGTGATGATTTCTGTTCTTATTGTAAATTTTTTCAGTTTTCTTCTAGCTAATATGAAAGATACACTTTAAGACAATAAAGTTACATATAGAAACCTGGGTATATTTTTTCTTTATTTTTAAGTAAGTTTCTACAATACTTGAGCACACATATTCTTTCAAGAAAGCATTTCATGATATCCAGTGCTCATGTAAAATCACCAACTGCCCCCAAATTTCAAATAACTCAAAATAAAATTAGCTCCCTTGTTTATTGACATTTTAAAGAAATTGATCACTGCTTACTTCCTGCTCGTCCCTTATCCAAGACTGGAATATGGGATTGTAATGAGGAAGGATCAGCAGCTCTCCTCTTGTAGGTCTTCGTTACTTTATCAACATCAGGCTGTTTTCTGGTCATCTCCTCCATGAAGGTCTGAAATGAAAGAAATTATGTCAATCAAATAAGAGTATACTAGAGAAAACCATCTTCAGAAATGAACTAAAAACAGAAGGATGAAAGAACCATGTTATTATTTCTGAAGAAGAATAAATCATCATGCTTTATCTTCAGGGTAAAAAAAAATCTAAACCATCATAATGCAGCATTTACTAACTTTTAAAGAATATAAAATGTGGCTGGGTGCAGTGGGCTCACACCTGTAATCCCAGCACTTTGGGAGGCCAAGGCAGGTGGATCACCTGAGGTCAGGAGTTTGAGACCAGCCTGATCAATATGATGAAACCCCGTCTCTACTAAAATTACAAAAATTAACCAGGCATGGTAGTACGTGTCTGTAGTTCCAGCTACTGGGGAGGCTGAGGCAGCAGAATCACTTGAACCTAGGAGGCAGAGGTTGCAGTGAGCCGAGACTGTGCCACTGCACTCCGGCCTGGGCAACAGAGTGAGACTCTGTCTCAAAAAAAAAAAAAAAAAAAAAAAAAATATATATATATATATATAAAAAATGTAAAGAGAGTACACTGAAAATAAAAATAATTTGTTTTAGTTGAATAACGTACATGGACACATGGGAGAAGTCATGTGAATAAAATAACCTGTCTGTGCACCAACCAAACTCAGGCTTCCAAGCTCCTCAGAAGAATCTTTAGTGAGCATCTGTCTACAGAGAAACCAGTTAGCTAGGATGTTTCCAAGAACTTTTCTGTGGCACATTTCACCTACATATTTGAAATATTTAAGATGGCTTTGATTAGGCAACACAGTGAAACCCTGTCTCTACAAAAAATGAAAACATTAGGCCAGGTGGCATGTGCCTTATAGTCCCAGCTACACAGGAGGCTGAGGTGGGAGGATCACTAAAGCCCAGGAGGTTGAGGTTGCAGTGAGCCATGACTGTGCCATTGCATTCCAGCCTGGGCAACAGAGTGAGACCCTGCCCCTCAAAAAAAAAGACGGCTCTTTGATATATTATGACATACTGCATCCACATTTAATGTGGACATATCAAAATATTCATAAATAGGCTATTCCAAGGATGGTAAAAGCTATTTGGTTTAAAGTATACTACCATTGTATTTAAAAGGTTTAACTACCTTGCCACTGCTTATCTCATCTCCTTGGGCTTATTATTATTATTTACTAGGTATCCCTATATTTGGAATATGCAGCAAAGGCTGAGGAAAGGCAGAGACTGTGAAAAATGATGGGAAAAAGGAGACCCAGACAAAAGGGAAAAGTGAAGTAACACCTTTCTGGAATATTTGTCACACTGAAGAACTCTAATACCTCTGATCACAGGGAACATGACCTGGTACACTTAGGGCTATTATAGACATTGATGTCTTAGACTTTTAAAACACACACACATACACACACAATAATGGCAACATTAATTGCTTAACCAACTGAGTTGACACTTAATATTTCTCTTTGTAAATGCATATTAAACACATTGTGAGCAATCAAGTAAATCAAAGTGAGTGTGATACCCATCATTCGAGTTTAAAACAAGTAGGATATGTAGGAAAAGTGTTTTTTCTAAGAAAGACAACATGTTCCCTTTTTCACACGATGTATTTCAAGTGGTGACAGTCATCTTCGAAGACAGAAAAATGCAAACAGAGCAATCAAACAAGGTACCCACTGAAGCCAGGGAGGTGGAGGTGGGTGAGATCACCAAAAGAGGGAACAGAGTGAGGGAAGTAGAGAGCTGAGGATAACACATAAGCAGTAAGGAGAGCTGACGTTAAGAAGGCAAAAGGGAGAGCAGGAGTGAGCGTGAGACAATACCACGAGTATAACCCCACAGAGGACAAAGAAGGAAAGTTTTGCAAAGGTCACAGAGGGTTCCGGTAAAAAGAGGTTTTAGGGCAGCTGCAGAACTGGAAATACAATTGTAAGGAACTGAGGAGTCTGAAGAAGTGAAAATAATAACAAAGCAGTGTTTTGAGAAGTACAGCAGTGAAAGAAAGAAAATATCTGAGAAAATGGTTAACAGGAGTTAGGATTATATTTATTTTACCTGGTGTTCTGCAATGAGTGCTTTCACCTCTTCGATCTCCTGGGGGATGACTTCTTTATCCTTATCAGTAAGTGTAGTTTCAGCCCATTGCAACCAAGCCAGCAAAGCTTCCAACAATTCCTGTTTGGCAATAAGCCCAGCCAGAGCACTTGCTAATCTCTGCTGATGTTGCTTTGCCCAGGCCAGCACCTGTCAGAGAAACAGAAATTTCTCAGAATTTCCTCCAACTTAGTAAAATAATTGCAGTGATATAAAATAAATAAATTTTAAATGACAATTAGGATCATCCTGGGCTAGACCCATAATGCTTCTGGTCTTTTTAGATTCCATTAGTGGCATCAAGATCTGGCTCGAGGAGGATATGAGAGCCCATGATGATGTTCATTATCTTCAGAATTTAAAGATGCATGTCAATCACTCAGGCTTCCTTTTGCTTTCTAATTTGAGTTCAAATATGCATTCTCTGAAGGATCAGGTAAGCTTA